CCCCGTGCACTACACACTCCTGACCCCCGTGCTCTGCGCACTACACACTCCTGACCCCCGTGCTCTGCGCACTACACACTCCTGACCCCGTGCACTACACACTCCTGACCCCCGTGCTCTGCGCACTACACACTCCTGACCCCCGTGCTCTGCGCACTACACACTCCTGACCCCCGTGCACTACATGATTCTGTCCCCTGCACTCTGAAAACTCCTGACCCCTGTGCGCTACATGATTCTGTCCCCTGCACTCTGCAAACTCCTGACCCCCGTGCATTACACACTCCTCACCCCTGTGATCTTGTGTACGACACACTCCTCACCCCTGCCACCACATTCCCTGTATCAGCTTGTAGGAGTATGATAAATATATATAAAACTTAGCTAAACACCATGCATAGTGCCCATATGTACAACCTATAGGAAAAGTGTCCGGGATGCTCGACGCCCAACCAATGAGGAGCCAGCTTTCATTTTTTTACTTTCACAAAAAATAAATAAAGTTATATGAAAGCACATATTATTATTATTATTATTATTAATCTTGTTGGGATTCTACTGTTTCCCCCAGGAACCAAATTCTCCCTTTCCTTACGGTCGGTCATTCCTCAGGAAAGGTCTTTGGTGACTAAAAGCCCCAAAAATGATTTTCTTTGGGACACTTTCCATACCAGACCCCAAGTCATTCCAGTACAATAACAAATATCTATTTACCGCACAGAAACTGGCAAACAGCCAGGAAACAAAATAAAAAGTAGGTTTGGAAGGGAGAAAAGGGCCAAAGAGAATATAATGAAGTGGGCCGATTGTTGGTGTCCCCGGATGAGATCTAAGAATTGGCTAGCAACCAACAGCTCGTCAGTCTTATTTCAGTTAAAGGCGGAGTTTATCCCTCTCTGTCACGATGGCAAATACGCAACAGTACAAATAGAGAGCGTGAATACCCCCGAGGGAAAACCAATCTGTAATGCAAAACCTGGGAGACGAATAAAAGGGAAGAGAGCGTTGCTCCATGGTGCTTGAAGTGACAACACGGATTGGGCCGTGTCAGATACAGTCCATAATAGAAGTCACCCACTCTCGATGTGTGCAAGAAGTAAAGCACTTTTTTTTTTAAATCGTCACATACAAACAGGCAAAGTTTCGGGGTCACGCAGGGTCCCTTCTTCTGGGCAACATAGAGACTATGAATGGACCCTGCGTGGCCCCGAAACGTTGGCTGTTTGACGCATTTGACGATTCAATAAAAAAGTGCTTCACCTTCTTGCAAATAAAAGGATCACCAGCCCTGACATATAAACGCATTGGCCGACATTTATCAAGCAAATCAGTGTCACAATCAGAGGGAAGAAGGCCACCTCTCCTTCCACAAAGTCTCTGCGCCAGATTTACAGTCCCCTGCGTGTGAATTCCTCGGCACAATTAGGGAGTGGTCAGGGTCGGGTTTTAGGCCTCATTCACACGAGAAAAAGCCGGCACGTACAGCCGTATCGGGCAGCTCCCGGGAAGGACAGGTGCTGCGTGTGATTAGTACGCAGCCCCTGTCTTTCTCTATTGGAGTACGCGGCCGTATGCTGCCCTACACGTCCATGCATTATGGCTACAGAACACCTCATCATCTCACTAACATAGGGTGGAAGTGTGCTGCAGTCCACACAGATACCTGGCAATGATGTAACAGATAAGAGGCATAGGGCAGAGGAAGTTGTCAGCTCACAAGATTTCTGTCAGGATCAAAACAGGTATTTATATTGTTATTATATTTATTTATCTTAAAAGGAGAACTATGGAGGTGAGTGAATATCATAGTTGGAGCCGACGTGTGACAATGAAACTGTCACACGTCGGCTCAATAGATCGGAAAGTGAGCGAACACATACCGTCGCTCGCTCACTTCTCGATCATCTCCCTGTAGAGAGCCGTGACTGTCACTCAAAAAAACCCACTGCAGTTGAAAAAGAAAAAAAATAAGCCAGTAATGATCATAAAAACCCCCACACACACATAAAAAAAAAATAAAATAAATAAATTTACACCACAGCAAAATCTTTATCTACAGACAATAAAACCCGGATCACCCTAAACAACATGAGCAATAGTTCAATATGTCCTGTCCATACAACCTGTTACTGTGACGTTATGGATTATCCAGACATGACTACCTACACACAACACTTCAGTCCCCTCTTACAAAAACAATGACATAAAATAAATATAAAATGATCTTTAAATGCCCTTTGCCAGTAAAAGACAAAACAAAAAACTATAATGGATCTCTAATACTGGACAGACCCAAAGTCAGATCTTCCAGCCCTCTTCTCAATGTTATTTACAAAGAAACTTGCTCAGGGTCTGATGGGGAAGTCATCAAGATTCCATTTATAAACATTGGGGAGGAAACACAAACATTTGTAACACGAAAGGAAACATTGTAACATAAAACGAAACATTGTAACAACACAGGAGCTCAGCAATGGATGCAGGGACTATAGGAAGCAGATTTGGAGCCCCCCTGGGGAAGAGAAGGGGTTGCATTGATAGCAGCCATTCATTTGAACCCCCTGTGGGGCAGTTCTTACCGTTTTGGTGCAGTTCTCACACTTCATGTCTGGCAGAGGAGGACAGGTAGCCTGCAGATCCTGAGATCACACTGAGGGGTGCCCAATCTGCCCCTCTGCTGTCACCCTGCCCTTTGTTACACCATCTCCTGCCCCCTCCCCTGATGCCTCCTGATTGACAGCCCTCAAACCAATCAACATCAGCCTACAGGCAGCTTGCTTTCCATCCCGCTACTATAACTTCCTCCCTTGTGATCCTGGTGTCAGAGGGATGTGTCTGCAGTGCTGCAGCATGGCTTGTAACGAGAGCAGACATTTTTATGGAGTCCATTCCTGTATGTTGAAAGGGAGAGGACACCCAAAGATGTCTGCGGGCAGGGTGACTATTTGGGGCAGAGGTTAGTGCCTCTAGTGGTGGAAAAACATCACTACAGGTATTGCATAAAGAGTCATGTGACTGGCTTCCATGGAGTGTGTGTGTGACTCTGAGGACATTGGACGTGCATGGGAGGCGGAGCTGCTCTGAGCAATTTTTATTATTATTAATAACAATAATACTGTAAAATAAAATAGTAATATCGTGACCAATCAGATGCAGGTCTCATTTTATTGCTAGGGTGTAATAAAGCCAAAACACTTTTCTGTAGTTTTGGCTGGAGCAGGGGCAGGTTAGAACTTCTGCCCAGGTTTTTGGGTCCCAGCTGTGAAAAGCTATGTGTGCTGGTGACCATGGAGGAAAATAAGTTGTCACCAGAACAGGAAGAGAGGGGAAATCATCCAATGGGGACACCTTCTGCTGGACACTGTCAGGTATTAGGATTTCCTTTTAGTTAGAGGAGATTTTTTGCATACTTCTTGTTGTGTCTCCGGGGACAGGAAGTGCAGAATAATCTTTCATATGGGGCATAGTGCATACAAATGTGACAGTTATAACACTTCCATTTTCTATGCCGCGGAGTCGCCAAGGTGTGAACCGATTGCGCTTTGGGTGCCATTATTTTGTAATGGCACCCCAGTCGCGCTGTTTCCCGCCACGATTCCGCACACTAAAACAGCCGCGCGTTGTATATCGCAAAAAAAGGAACTTGTACCTTTTCTTTGCGATTGCAGCACGGATGTTACCCCGTTTCAATCAATGGGGCCGTGCGGGAATCGCTGCCTGCATTGTGCAGGATGCGTGTCCCGGGTGTAGTGCAGGTGTGAATCTTACCTTAGTCAGGGCTTGTTCACACCACATGCGTGCGTTAATCGCACAGTTCTGCACAATGCACCTACCGTGTGTTCATAACATACGCTACTGTGCAACTCACCTACCATGCATTAACAGCGTGGGAGGTACTTTGCATTGCCATTCATTTGAATGGCACCCGAAACGCACCTCCCACCCACAATGCACTTGAGCGCACAGCAGGGTACCAAAAGTCCATTCGTTGCAGTTGAAAAAAAGTGTGCACTACTTTTTTTTCAACCGCACAACGCACGGTATTGTGGTAGAGGGCGTTGTGACACGGTCACATTTTTGGGAGGTGCATTTTGGGATGCCATTCAAACAAATGGCAATGCAACGCACCTCCCACGCTGTTAATGCATGGTAGGTGCATTGCACGGTAACGTATGTTATGAACCGTGCAATTAACACATGCATAGGTGGTGAACAGAACCCTTACTTTGTTTCTAAGCATTCCTCCGGGAACACAAAAGTATTGATCGTTCCCCAGTTTTCGTACAAACTGTTGCTGATTGGTTGCGTTGATTCGGTCGGTAATTTTTGGCAGTCCAAAGCTGGTTGATCGCAAAAACTGCTGAACAGATCCAGGAAGCTGCAAAGTTTGGACTGTTCCTTGGTTCTGATAGGAACGCTTGCTGATTGGTCAATTTTGTGATTGAAAATTGCCTGACTGCAGAAGTTACCGAACAGATCCAGGAAGCCAACAGTCCCGAATTGATAGGAATCGCATTCATTGCATCAATCTGGTCAGTCGCTTGTATGGCCAGCATTGTGTATGGCCAGCATTGTGTATGGCCAGCATTGTGTATGGCCAGCATTGTGTATGGCCAGCACAGTGTATGGCCAGCACAGTGTATGGCCAGCACTGATTGATCGTATACAACAACTCCTGAGGTGCAGCATTGAGGTCCTTTGAGGTTGGCTACAACATTTTTCTTTGCAAAGAAGTTGCTACATTCATTGTCATGGCAAGGGAAGGTAGACAGCGCCCCCTGGTGTGGGATGCAGGCACTGGAGGGGAGCAGCCGGGTGAAGCCAGGGTGTTTCCTCCAGTCTCCCAGCATGCCTCAGGCGGTTCAGTGTGGCTGGGGAAGTTGCTGGAGGTGAAGACAAGCAGGTGAGTGCTGCAGACCTGCGTCTGTGTAGCTTTCTGAAGGCACCAAGCATTGTGTATGGCCAGCATTGTGTATGGCCAGCACAGTGTATGGCCAGCACAGTGTATGGCCAGCACTGATTGATCGTATACAACAACTCCTGAGGTGCAGCATTGAGGTCCTTTGAGGTTGGCTACAACATTTTTCTTTGCAAAGAAGTTGCTACATTCATTGTCATGGCAAGGGAAGGTAGACAGCGCCCCCTGGTGTGGGATGCAGGCACTGGAGGGGAGCAGCCGGGTGAAGCCAGGGTGTTTCCTCCAGTCTCCCAGCATGCCTCAGGCGGTTCAGTGTGGCTGGGGAAGTTGCTGGAGGTGAAGACAAGCAGGTGAGTGCTGCAGACCTGCGTCTGTGTAGCTTTCTGAAGGCACCGGGGGGGGGGCTGTGTGACCGCTGAGGCACTGAGGGGGTCTGCTTTTCTGCCCCCAGCACTGCCCTGACCCCGGCAAGGGAGGGGAACGCTTGCACAGATCTCTATTTCCTTTGTCAGCCCCGCACATCTGGCTGGCTGGAATTCTTCCTGCGTCTTGCATTCTGCGCTCATGATGGAAACATTTTCTGTTGCAGTTGCGATTCCTGGCTTTTCGATGTGTTGATTTCCTGGACTTTGCGTCCTGTACGGGGGCACTTCTCTGGAAAGTAGGGTTGGGAGCCGCAGCCGGGTAAAGTCGTTTTTATTGGCTAGTGGTTCTGTGGTATGGCAGCCCTATACAGGCGTCTTTGTATGGCTGCAGTCCAAAGAGTATACTACCGCACCCCTTACCGGAAACCCCTTAGGGATGGGTGCTGAAATGACTGCGGACGGTGCAGCTGAGATCAATGGAGAAGCAAGATGTCACCTGTACACCGCACCACACCTGCACATCTTTTATTGGCACATATTGCCACGGTGATAGCGACGTTTCGGGGCCCATTCGTCAGGCTTAGTATGACCTCAGTATGGTATGCTGAGCGTGATAAAGGGGACCCTGCACGGCCCCAAAACGTTGCTATCACTGTGACAATATGCTTCAATAAAAGACATTTGTTTGAGCAACCTCTGCAGTGTGCAGGTGACATCTTGCTTCTACATTGTACAGCCGCAGGGCGCACCGTTGTCAGCCATACAATGCCCCCTGCATAATGGTGATTACATATGGGAGGGCATATATATGTATGCATATAACACCATGCAACTGCTAGGGGGCCCAGGAGCACAGAGGGCTAAAATTGTATAGTTCCACATGTAGCCTTAGTTTCTGTCTGTGTCACTGTTGGTGGCTTCCACTCACTTCCTGTCTGGTGAAATGTTGTCAGAATGACAGGAAGTAAAGGGGAATCTCTCCCGGACAGCAGAACAAACAGGAGTCGTAACCCTTTCCCGAAGAAAACAAAGTTTAGCCTTGACATGCTCTTTATGGATTTACTGTAAAGCATATTTATGGCTCTGTATGTACTACACGTAAAACCCTTCTTCAGGCACTTCCTGTTATAGGGTGACAACCCTCTATTCTTGTCAACCAATTGTGCTCTCGCATTGTCACGCTGGCTTGCAATAGAGGCTATAGATGGCTGTTTTTAACACACATTACATCGCTGGAGTGCATGTAGACAGGAAGTGGCTGCAAGGAGACTGGTCTTGTCCCCGCCTCCTCCTGTAATAAAGACAGGTCACTGCTGCTCTCTCTCCTTGTGCGGGGCGACTGGTCTTGTCTCCGCCTCCTCCTGTAATAAAGACAGGTCACTGCTGCTCTCTCTCCTTGTGCGGGGCGACTGGTCTTGTCTCCGTCCATCCTATAATTTCCTATAGTGGATGAAGCCTGCTGGGTCCCTCCCACACCTCTGCTCTCTGCACAAGCTATGTACAGCACAGTGATGATGTCACTGCTACTTTGTCACAGTAACATCTGGGTTTGCAAAGGCATGCGGTCCACACAAAGTGGAATTATGTCATTTGTTTTTATTGAGGAGTATTTTTAGATAAGAGTTGGTGTGCTCGGAGTTCAGCTTTAAGGGTTTACATATAATGATCTAGTGACATAACCAGGGCAGCCATCTTGTCAGATGAATGAATATAGTTAGAAAAGAACGGGCTAGGAGTGTTCTAGATGTCCCACGCATTTTCTACCAACCAAGGACAACACAATGGCTCACGTGTGCGTCAGTGATGTCATCGCTTCCCCATGAATTGATTAGCTACATTCTTCTAGAGCAGGGGTGTCAAAATCAATTTAATCATGGGCCGCATCAACATTATGGTTGCCCTCAAAGGTATCTGTAAGACTATATAAATGTATCTAATCTTTATCATAATTTCCTCTGCATTCCATTATCACTGGTTTTAGTAATAACTTAATACCGAGATCTGAAAGTAGAAGTCTAGGATACGACCTGGTGGGCCGGATTCGGCCCCAGTGCCTTGAGTTTGGCACATGTGCTCTAGAGTATTTCTTCAGTTGCAAAACATTTAGCAATGCGACACACTGGAGCTTCTACTACAATGAAACTTCCTTATTTCCTTCTGCTTCCTCTTCCCTCTGTCACCCAGTTACTGGTTTACCAGAAAGCAGGAAGTGGGTGTTACTCAACCCTCCATATTGATGAGATAAAAGCCTCCCCAGATAAGGCTGCCAGCCCATCCGGGTTTCTGGAGTCATTCCTTCCCTTTGTCTTCCAGGAAGAAGTCAGCCATGTATATGCAGGTGGAGAGCCACACGGGGACCCGTTTACACCTGAAGAGGAACCCCAGCATCCGCTCTTGGTCCCTTTTGGTTGGTGAGTTGACCCCCATTTCGTTAGATGGATGTAGACACGAGTAGCCTCCCTGTATAGCTTTCATCATAGTAAGCCATTTCGTCTATAGGGGTTGATGGCTACTCTTGAGCTGGTCACACACGTGGCAGGTTCAACTGCCTTTGATTAACTGAGAATCGAACATACGAATCGAAAGTGGTCGCCTGGAAACATGTAAGCTGCCATCCAGGAGTTCAATGGATGCGATTGATTGAACTTAGATTCAAAATCTGTTTGTGACTAGGGATGGGCTGCATGTTCAAGTCGAATGTGAGTTCGACTTGAACATCGCTAGTTCGTGTGTTCGTCAAACACACGAACTGTAAGGGCGTTCGGCGGTCTGTTCGACTGCTGAACACCCCACAATGCAATGTGCCTTGTGAAGCCCTAATTGGCTAAAGGCTTGCACATGGCCGTCAAGATGTCGCCCTGATGAAGGGACCCTGTGTGGCCCCGAAACGTTGGCTTCTTGACGCATGTGACATATCAATAAAAGTGCTATCCTTTTTGCACATTGCAAGTGAGTGCTGGTGACTAAGGATGGGCTCGGGCATGTTCGCAGCTCCACGTGCCGAGCCCGCCAGGAAGCTGACAGCGCGCAGCGCCAATCACAGGCACTGAGACATTTCCCGATCTCTGCAGCAGCGGACCGGGAAAATATCTCAGTACCTGTGATTGGCGCTGTCAGCTTCCTGGCGGGCTCGGCACGTGGAGCTGCGAACACGCCCGAGCCCATCCTTACTGGTGACCACTATCTTTGCCTGGTCTTCCTAAGACACGCCCCTACCTTCTCAGCACTACAAGTGTACATCAGGACATGCGATGAGGAGTGTGGCCGTGACCCGTCCATAACAACATAGAGCAGTGGAGTGATGGGGCTGAATAATTTATTTCTTCCAAGAAAAAAAATGTTCTTTAAGGCTAGGTTCACACCTGCGCGATCTGTGACCGCGCGGCAATCGTTCACGAAACCGCACGGATTGCCCACCACAACCAATCACGCTGGCGGTGCCATTATTTTCTAATGGCACCCCAAGTCGCGCCGGGCGGATCGCACTGGTTTGCCGCTGCAATTCTGCCCGTCCAATCGAACACGATTGTGGCTGAAAAAGCCACGCATCCTTTGTTGCAAAAGAAGGTACTTGTACCTTTTTTCAGCGTTGGCCGCACGGATGTAACCCCATTGAAATCAATGGGGCCGCGGGGCAACTGCCGTGCACACGCGATCGTGCGGTCCCGGGATCGCTCGGATCTCAACCTAGCCTTAGGCATCTCTAAGTGAAAGTCGTAACACCTGGCCGCAAAGGACTATAAGGACAAAAAAAAGGGGTAGACTTAATTGGGACTTTAAGCAATCCCTGGAATCATTTTAGGAATAACGTGTATTTGTTTTTTAGGAATCTCCTCGGTGGGGCTGGCAGCTGCGTATTACAGCACAGGTAAGTTCCCTCTGAATACAAACTCTGCCACAGGAAGGAAGGGGTAGGAAGTGCTGCATGCATCTAGAAGGGCACCTACCTGCAGCTGCCTCTCACACTTATCTGTCATGGCTGAATCTCAAACCATTTTGACAGGCAAAGTGCTGGCACCTTGTGACAATGCCAAAACATACCCATCCTCTCCTACCTCCTGAACATTCCTATTGATCAGTGAGGCTGCCCATCACAGCACAGGAAGTGACAATAGCAATGGTGAAGTTGGGGCTTAGTGGCAAGCTTTGATGCTATCCGGAATCCTATCCATGGCCCGGCATTCACCCTTACAGGAAGGTTTGGGAGGCTGCCGCAGATATGAGCACCTCCAGGTGTCTGCACTTCATAACTGCAGCAGCTTGCCCTGCTTCCCTCCATTGACAGAGTCTTGGTAAAGTGCACCTGTCTCTTAAACAACCCTAGTGACAGAACAAGCTAAAACTGCAAATGAGTATAACGTGTATTGTTCTCCAGAAGCCTTCAAAACATCAAAACCACATCAAAACTGTGCTACTCTCTTTACTTCTTAACATGGAGCTTGTTTGCTCAAGATGGACAATGGCATTCCATCAGAAGTCTCCAGGGTCTTCTAGGGCCCTCTAAAGTTAGGTTTGTCCAGGCTTCTCTAGTTAACTAAGTTTTGGTTTCCTGGAGAACTGGGCTGACTTCGCAGTCGGCTATCGGCTCTTCAGCCGAGACGGGCTGCATCTTAATAAACTATGGTTAGCACGAACACATATCTGTACACGGAGAACGGAACGTTTGTAACTATTGTGACGTTCGGGGATATTAGCACATATGGTGAGCGCTTAAGAATGCAGTCTACTCGCAATATCTTCAGTTTAAGGGCTCGGTAGCCCACTTTTTATTCACAACAAAGTTCATATATCCATCTTGGATACCCTCGCAGGGGTTGTTCAACATAATATTCGTGCAAGGCTTTAAAACAGCACAATAGCAGCCTCCTGGCTTCCACTTTAAACCTTAGCACTTCTGACCCACTGGTCCTCTTTGAAGTGCTGTCCCACGCTGGTACTGGTGGCCACTCAGGCTCACTGCTCTCCTAGTCTCACCAGTTCTCTCCCAGCCTCCTTGGCTGTCTTAGTGTGCCTTCAGCACACTCACCACCTGACTCCTCTCTGACTTCTGGGGGCGTTCTCCTGACACCTGAACACGGTCTGTTCCTCTTTCCCAGCAGGAGCTCATTCCCCTAGCCAGCATCCTTTTCTTAATGGCCGTGCACACCTGTGCAATTATCGAGTGCTGGCCACTGCTAAAGCCTGGACCCAGGACTAGGGATCTCATCTTTCCTCCAGAATCACCTTGAAACCTCCCAGTTCCAGGATCCCAAGCAGAATCCAGACAATCCTTTGCTTCCTGAAACGTCTCAGCCCATCTGGCTGAGAGTCCCAGGTGATCATAACACCCAATTCTACAGTGGGATTGCCACACAATAGCACACTATGTAGAAATGACTTCATTTGCTTTCTCATGGTATATTGCCTCCACCCCATCTTGAGTACTATCATATTATCTTAATGGGCTTTTGCTCCCTTTGGGTTGGTGCACATTACAGGAAAGTCTGGACTGGGGTGGCTGGAATAAGCTCCCTCTTACTAGCCCAGACTTATGCCTGCCCTCCCCATCCTACGCCCAAGAGCGGTTTGATATCCAATTTCGAAGATGAGTAATTAGAAATTCCTACAGAGGAGGATGAATGAATGGTCACTCCACAGTGGCTGCTGTATTGTAGATACTTTATTATAGGTTGTTTCCCATTGGTTCTACAATGTGTCTCTGTTAAACTAAACCACCAATCACAAATGTGTTTCTTTGCCCTGATGTTGTTTTGGTTTGTTATCGAAATGACTCTTAATTTCTCATACTTGCATTTTTCCCTTTCTCTAGACTCCTTTGGTTGGAGGCTCTTCTATGTGGCCGGCTGTCTCTTTGTGGCTATGCAGAATTTAGAAGATTGGGAAGTAAGTCAGTTTTGGTATTAAAACTTCAAACTTTTGCTTAAAAGCACATTTCTATCAAAGTGGATTTCCAGCCAAAACATTTTGATTTACTTCTGAGTAGTGTCGGGAAGAGTGCAAAGTTCCATTAGGTTTTTATTGTTGTTTCATAAAGACCCACAGGGTTATTCACAAAAGGGTGAAGAGTTTGGAGGAGGCGGGAGAAGTGAACAATCTAGGACAAAATAAATTAATTGGAAAAATTCTCCAATTCAGCTAACTTTCCAGTTCAGCTATGTTATCCTTGATCAGGGGTGTCAAACTCAATTTCATTGCAGGCCGCATCAGCATTATGGTTACCTTGAGGGCTGGTTGTATCTTTAAGACTATATAAATGTTAAAGTTCTATGGTGGACTATGCGGGCTCTCAAGTGGCTGTGCAGGTTCTAAGGTGAGATGTGTGGAATCTCAGGTGGGCTGTGCGGGGTCTATGCTGGGCTGTGAGGACTTTCAGGTGGCCGTGCGGGGTCTCAGGTGGGCTGTGCGGACTCTCAGGTGGGTCTGATTTCCACATCAGGTTGCCTAATGATTCCAAATTTCAGAGGATCTCAGCCTTTGTTAGGCCGCCTGCTAAAGATAAAGTGTATGTAGACCTAAAAATAGAATTTTTTTCAATGCACTGTAAATCCTTTTCTTGGAGTCCATTGAGGGACATTGGACGTCAAATAGAAGACCTCTGGGCAGAAATTATGCGCATGTCACATGACCTAGTCACATGTCTAGTCACATGTGCCAGAAATCCAGGAACTAAAAGGAGAGCTAATAATCTGCCCTTAGTAATAATGGTCACTGTCAGAAGACTGGGGAGGAAAAGAGAAACAAGGTATGCAAAGAATACAAAGCCGGCAATTATCTGGAAGTGTCTGTTTGTGGATTGTCATTACTAAACATTTCTAAAGGTGTTTTTTTTTGTTATTTTAAAGATATGGGTAAAGGTCCGCTTTAAATACTGGAGGTTCTTCATAGCTCCTGAAGTGAGCAAAGATCGGAGTCATCGAAGGGAATTTATCAACACTGGAGCAGCTGTGCATGGCAACCAATCGACACTTCTCTCTCATTTTCAAATCTTAACTCCACAAACTGAAGAGAGAAGCTGATTGGTTGCCATGTGCAACTGCTCCAGATTTAGTTTGCTCCAGTTTTGATAAATTCCCTTCAATGCCTTTTGGACTGGTATGTATTAGTCTTTTAGGTGCCCATACACTGCGCGATTCTCGTACGAGAATCGCGGGAAATCCCGCGATCGTACGAGAATCGAGCAGTGTGAACGAAGACGTGCGACCGTTTCTTCTGTACGGTCGCACGTCTTTTGTCTAAGGAGCATGCTAGAAAACCAGCCGAAAATCTTACGATTTTCGGCTGGTTGGAATGATGCTCGGGAGACAAATGCCGAACTGGCCGTTGTGCGCACGCGCACACTGCCCGTTCAGCATTGCAGTCGTCGGAAGCCTGCCCCTCAGGGGGGCGGGCTTGCGATGATCGCAAGTACGATCTGCCTGTCCAAGATGGGCAGATCGTACATTTTTTAAATTACTTTACAACCATCGCAAGACTAAGGTCTTGCGATGATTGTAAAGTGTATGGCCACCTTTTGAAGGGAGCTACTTTTTTATTTTGTTCGAATGGCAACAGAGTCTCTTTAGGAGCAAAACGAAATAACCGTACCACTTTACTGACTTTTAGGTAACTTCGGGTTTGCTTCAAGAATAGTTACTTTTTAACTTTTGTGGAACTTAGGAACTTGCAGCTTCCCATTTGATAAAGTTCCTCTTTTAGTTACACTTGGCCCCTTCATCAGTTGTTTTTCTCCATTGTTTTTTTTTCCAAGGAAGCCATATTTGACAAGCGGGAAGGGAAGGTCACCCTAAAAACATTCAACTTGTACAGGAAGCTGTTGACGTTGTGTAAAGGAGGCCAGGAACAAGGTAGGTGGTTCCAGTTCTGTGTTCCGGGGCTGGTGGAAGTGGGCATCACAGATGGATCATCCTTGTTGTAAAACATTGTTATCTCTCCTGCAGCGGTGGTGCTCCTCAGCGAGATAAGAGACATCAGCGTCCAAGAGGAGAAAGTGAGATACTTTGGGATAGGCTACCTTATTGTGTTGCGTCTTCTGACGGGAATATCTCACGCACTTACCCAAAGCGCAGTACTGGGAGGACGCAGGTAAATAAGAGACACGGTGCCAAAACTGTCAGGTACACAAGGTGGTGCCGCCTGTGACGGACCGCCTGGTACCCCACCGACTGGGTACCTCCGTCAGACATCAGCTTCCTCTCCGCTGGAACCTGAATTCCAGTGACCTCAGACCAAACCTGCCTAATTATTGGACAGAACCAATGTATTAGGACAGAAAGCTAAACTCCTCAATCATCAGACAACATCAATGTGGAAGTGAAAACCAAGAACTGACTTTATTGAAGAAAGCACACAGAGTTTATACCTCACAGAATCAGATAAGAGTTCAGTGTGTTGAACAGTTCCCTCCCCTAGACAGCCGGGTGCCGCATTGGAATTCCTTTAAGCACAGACACTCTTTAAACCTAATGAATGTCCTTAATTAGATAAGAGCTCGATCATCCCAAACAATGGTCACTCCCAGACAGCCTGCTGCCTATAATGAACATAGGGTCACTTAAATGTAATGCATGGGGAAACATGCAGTATTTTCAATCCACACATAAACCTAGGAGAATGGTTCCATGTAACCCAAGAGGTCTGAGGGGGGGGGCTCCATAGTTCTACCGGTAGGTCCATAGTCAGTAGGAAGGAGGCTAGCCCTCAGGCTCCTCCAGCAGCCCCAGTGAAGCTTCAGTCTGTCACACCGCCTATTTCATATCTATATCTCTCCGTTTTTAGTGATGTGGAAGCCGTGGCCAAACTCCTGACCAACTTCCTGGAACTAGACATGGCAGGATTCCACTCCGGAATAGCAGAGGAGAGCAGCGACAGCGAGGAAGCCTTGGACAAAGATGACGAATGAGTCCTGCACACCACAGCCTAACAAAATACTGAACGTGAGCTGTATTGCCCATCTAAGATAATGTCTGTGGCAACAATGAGACACAACCTACTGTCTATATAATCCTTCCGGGTGACATCACAGCCTGTGGTCTATAAATGGTTTAACTTTTCAGTGACAACCATCACTGTGGTCCATCAAGCTTTTTATTATTCATATTTTTTTCCTTGCACTATTCCAATTGCTTTAACTCCCGTGCCTTTTGACGAACGTGCCTTCGTTTTCTCAATTCCAAATATTTGTATAAGATGCACACCAAATCGACGCGTGGATCAGTGTTACATCCTATGGAACTTGAAAAATACTCCCAAAGCCTGGTTTCCGCGGGGCTATGCTATGGGGCCAACTAAGTATCTTCCACCAGAGATCAATGGTAACAGATATTCCATGTATCAATGACTCCGTTCTTCATATGATGTCATCTAGGTATATACTATAAGCTGTCTGGCCTTCATGCCTTGCCTCTCCTCACCAAATAACCCATATTACACCAGATATATACACCGGATAAGAAGTTGATGACATTTTACAACCATTGTTTTTTTTTTTTTGCCTTGGCCGGCCTATCGGCGCGTGACGTCCAAGACTGGAAAGCAGACCTAGGTGAAAGTTCACTGTTCGTGGTACTAAGAAATGACTTTGGCATAAGACACAACTGCTGTACAATTAACAAGCTTACTACTATAAAGATGCAAAGGAATTGTACAGACCAATAGGAGCTTGCAATCTAACACGTGGGGCCGTGTTCCTTCTTCTGGTTGGCTACTGCAGATTTAGCCCCGTGATATCCCTTTTTTTCGTTCCATTAATAATCATATGAGAACACAAAACTCGTTACCTTCAAAATATTTATTATGAGCTTTTATAATGGTACCGAAGTGTGAGGCAATCCTAAATCCTTCCTAGTCCAGAAATATTTAAGGGGAACCTGTCAGGGTAGCAATTAACCATTTAAGCAGAGCCTCAGCTACAGCATAGAGCCAAATGTTTTTGGACACCTGATCTACACTGTATGGCCAAAAGCATTTGGGAATCCCAATGAAATCATTGAATTTCGATGCTTCTAAATAAAAGGGTACTGCTAATGCTGCAGCATACAAAACGGAAAATTGTATGCTTACCTATCGGTCATTTTCCTTTCCTAATGCCAATACATGGCAGCATACGAATGGGGGGCGGAGCTATAACCATTTGGATGCTGCCATGTTTGGGGTCCACACAGGTAGCACAGAGACATAAATCCAATCAACATGGAATGGGACAAGGCAAATGTTGATTGTCCATTGGTAAAACAAAACCAAGGAGATCTGTGACTCCGCCCTTACGGAAAGCATATTGTTTAATGAATGCGGTACTCATTCTGCTTGTTACAGACAGGTGCGGGGTTCTAGGCACCTGACCACGAGCCGCAAAGTGTTAGCGGCAGGGCTTTGTTTTTATGTATAATTTATGTTTAACAACATGTTGTCGTTTTGTATTACTTGAAACTACGCAGCCGTTGTGTAATTATATATTGTGTTTTTATACAGCAAATAAAAGTATTATGAGACGATGCTGATGAATGGCAGAAGACTTTTGGGATCTTTAAGGCTACAGTCACACCTACAGATAAGGTGCATTTTGGAGCAGCAGAAATTCCAAATATGCCATTTAGAAGTGGCTACTGTCACCCGTTCAATGCAGCGGGCGCATTCGAAAGTGGCGGTGTCCTATCGAAAGCTCCAACTCATCGGAATCTCCAACTACCTCACTTCCGGTGCTCAGAAAGACTGGAGCTCTGTACAGTTGCGGTGCGCGCATGGCGTTTTCAGAATACTCGTCGAGTTTGCCACCTGCTGAATATTGTTATAATGCGGCTGTACAGAGCTCCACCAGTCTTTGTGTTTTGCAGTCTAACTCCGTCTGGTCGAAATCTCCAACTTGCAAGTACCCGGCAGTGAGGTAGTTGGAGATTTCGACGAGTTGGAGCTTTCGATAGAACACCGGCACTCTGCATGTACCGTATATACTCGAGTATAAGCCGAGATTTTCAGCCCATTTTTTTTGGGTGAAAAGTGCCCCCCTCGGCTTATACTCGAGTCAGCGCCAGCACGTCATCTTACTTACCTCGCCGAGCGTCGCGTCACTGCTGCTCCGGAGATCAGGCACTCTATATGTACATGTACTATATACTACATATAGAATGCACTGAACAATAGATTTACAATTATCCTCTGCTAATATGAATGGGTTAAATGATCCGTAGTACATGATATGTAGCCCTGTACCCCCTTTTCCACTTACAGAGCTAGGTTATTTTTCTTTTAAATAAATATTCATGTAATTTTATTGGTATCTATCTACCAGTAGCTGCCTCATTTCCCACCCTCGGCTTATATTCGGGTCAATA